AAAAAAAAAAAAAAAAAAAAGAAGAAGAAGAAGAAGAAATAAATTTTAAAAAAATCAACTTTCTATGTCGCCATTTAGCCAGTGGAAACTCACCCATGCATGTTTGGGCACTATTACTCAGACTCATGCTTTTCAGTAATTTTAAAGATTTAAAAAGGCACCTCGGCAGGCAGTAGAATTAGGCTACTGCTAAATTCTACTTATTAGTTGAGGTCACACTATTCTGCAAAAACTTTCTGTAATCACTTGGCTGAAAATTTTAAAATGCATTTGTATTACTGGTATAGTGTCTTCATTGATGGAGCTATAGTATGTTTTGGATTTTCAGTTTTGAATTTCTTTGCTGAAGTTGTGGCTTGATCTTATATAATATTCTTCAGCCCTTGATAAAGTTACGTGTGGCAAAACCAATAATGTATAACTAGTGGTCTCCTATACACATCATTCTGTGGCTTACTTTTTTGTCAACAAGATGCTTTTGTTATTTATCCATGATGTACTGAGGATTTAAACATGGAATAACTCACCCCCTTGGGAGTGTTTGTGGAAGATCATCTTTTTAGGATGCACAAAAGAGGAAGAAGGACCAAGGGGAAAAGAAAAGAAATGGAGACTGGAAATTAGTCTGGCAGGGCCCAATAAGTTGAAAGAACGCTAGGTATAAGTAGGGGCACATGTCAGAAGGTAGACCCTTTGTTCAACAAACATAAATTAGAATCTTGCCTTCTTTAGCCTTGGGGAACCAGACGGCTAGATGGCTAGATAGATAGATAGATCATAGAATTTCCTTCCCTCCACCTTCTCAATTCTTTCCCCCCTTATTCAAATGTATGATTCCAAGTTTTCTGTTTAATCTTTCCTTGCCTACTTTCTATCTCTCTTCTTATTTTACTCTTGAAGACATTCTCCAAAAAGCAACATAAACATACCCCTTAGAGCTAGAGAAGTAAATGCTAGCTTGTTGGATGGATGGTATGAGGAGACAGGGTTGTCACTGTTCATTAAAAACCCTCTACATTACTTGATTTTGAACTATTTTGTTTACTTTGATAAAATTGTAAAGAGTCAATTGACCGTGTCCTGTAGCTTCTAATAAACACTACTGTTTATCTTTCAAGGCCAAAGAAATCTCATTCTCATCAGTTTCCTAGGAAAGAAAGGCAAAGTGGAATGATGTCAGAGAGCTAAACTATGGGTCATTTTCAGAACTGCTCAGAATGATAAGTGCTTTTTTTCCCTCCAGTTTTATTCTTACAAATAAAATGGATTTGAGGTGCCATCAGATATTTCAAGTGAGCTCAGTGGAGTTACCCATCTCTCATTTTATTTTCAACACCACCCTGCTCCCCAGATGGGAAGCTGAGGCGAGGTGAGTAACCTACCCAAGTCACCCAGGAAGGACAGAGGGCCAGAATGCTTTTTCTCCATGTCACAGGGCCTTTCTCTGCTGATGGTGGTAATGAAGGCCCTGAGTCAGCAAGGCCAGATAGAGTTCAGGCTAACTTGCTTTTGAAGGACCACCACTGTGGCAGTGATACAGTGATGTGAGGGGTCCACAGGTGCTCTCTTCCAGAATGAATGATCAGGGCCCACTGTTGAGAATGAGTCCAAATTTTCCCATGATCTAAGACCAGAGAAATAGCAGTGGGTCAGCCCCTGCGCCACAGACTGTTGGGAGATGCCTTTTCAGTGGACTTGAGAAGAGCTTGTCTTTTGGGGAGCATGCAGCTGAGAGAAGGGGCCCAAGAGAATCACCTCCCTCTTCCAGTGAGACATCCTCTAGGCCACCAGTGTAGCATAATGGCTAAGGTGTTTCCACAGAGGGAAGAGGAGGGCAGGCCGGGAAAACTGCCAGTCAGGGGCATGCCATGGCTGCACAACTGAGTTTGGTAAGGTGTGGAAGCTGGATTCTACCCTTGCTGGCAGGCCTGGAATTGGGGCTACAGACGGGCAGGAAGATCACGGGTACAGGTTGCTGAAAGCTACTGAAGGATGGCAAAGAAGGGTGTGTATGAGGCTGAAAAGCAGACCAGGATGCAGCTGCATCTCTGAAGGGACTGCAGTGACCCCTCGAGGACTAGGGGTTGAGTCGCTTATCAGTGGCCAGTGGGGAGTCCCCATACCCCCTACTT